GGGGGGGCGGAAGAGACGCGGCTGAGGGCGGGGCGGGGCGTCGCGGCCGTTGGGCACCCGAGCTCGGGGAGGCGGCGGGGAGCACGCGGCGGCGGCGGCGCCGAGCACGGGTTCTAAACACATAAGCAGCGCTGGGTGACGCTGGCGAGCGTTGCTGCCGGCGGCTGTTTGCTTAAGCCTGGCTCAGCAGGCGGCGGGAGAAGAACCGAAAGTTTAAGCGGCTGGTTTGGATTCCGCCGCTAAGCTGAGCCGGCGCCCGGCCCGCGCTTCCCTTCGCCCTTTATCCCGGGAGCTCCCGTGCTCCTCAGAGGGCGAATTGCACAAGTGTTCGCCGCAGGTTACCCGTCCTCACCGCGCGTTGCGCAACGAGGAGAAAAACAACGGGTGAAGTAGGAGCCTAGCCCGTGCCAGTGACAGACTCATGCCTGTGGCGGTTGAGCACTGCGTTCGGTCAAACTGCGTGCAGGGGACACGCGGTCCTGCCGCATGTGCAAGGTGCAGGGTGAGGGCGGCCTGAAATGCTGTTTCACGTCTTGTTTACTCACTGAGCGAAACTCCTCTGCTCTTGCGTTACAGTTACGCACCCTGATGGGTATTTACCTCAAGTTCAGATGTAGTTCTCTTCCTGGAGAACTACTTTTTTTTTGTTTTTTTTTTTAAAGCGTCTTTACATGCATTTATAGTTGGGAAGGCCCCCACTGTCCCTTGCAAGCTGTACACCGACTCCCCCTTTCCTTTTGTCTGTATAATTACATAATCATTATATAATCTCAGAAGGAGCTACTATTCTGATGGAGGGCGGATGGAAAGCAAAGTGATACAGATACACTTGGCACGAGAAATAGTTCAAGCAAAAAGATGAGCCTGAGCTACAGTAATTTGGGATGACTGAAAGGGTACGGGCAGCTTGACCATGCCTGAGGAGCAGCTTTCAACAGACCCTGGGCAAAACGAATCTTTTCCCCTGCTCTCTTTAACAAAGAACTTTTTTTTTTCTTTTTTTTTTTTTTTTTTTTTTTTGGTATTTTGGTTTTTTGGTCTTTTAATCAAGCTGATTAAACTCAATGCCTCAAGAAGCATTCAGTGTCTTTTTTCTGCCCCCTACGCATTACCTGCAGGTATGCAGGTATACCATATTTCCCAGCATAGGAGGTGCCCCTTACTCATTTTCAAAATATTTTAAAAATGTGCAGCGTAAGCAAAGAGTAAACAACTGAGGTGGAAGATRTATGGCACAATATTATAAAGATGTACAAAGCAGAGAAAAGATGGAATCTGAAAGGTCAACATCAAGATTATGGAATTATCCTTCTCCAGCCCTGTTTTAAAGCTCTGGGGAAAAAACCATTCCCAGGGAAGTTCCCACTGCCCGGGACTGGCAGTGCGTTGGGGACGTTTCACCTAAACATTTAAGAGCACAGGGTCTGAAGTTCAGCAGTCTCTGTGGCGCAGAGAACGTGCTGTTACGAAACTTCCTGGGAGAGGCGCTTGCGGATGTGCTCTGCCGTGGCCTCCGAGGAGGCCGTGGCAGCGCGTCGGTCACCGAGCCCCCGCTGCTGCTCCCTTCATCTGCGCCATGCAGCGCCTGGAAGCTCGTCCCGAGAGCCCAGGAGCGGGACCCGCGCGTGGGGAGTTTGGAAATCCAACTGACTCGTGAAGCTGCAAAGGCTGGGCTCGTGGCAGAGGGGTAGGGAGGTGGTGGCGCAAGCGTGGCCTCCAAGAGGATGTGGCCTCGCACAGAGCTGCTGCTGCCGGCATCGAGACTGGAGCGGGTGCAAGGTTCTTCCTGGAGCCCTCCGGAATCCCCCTGGATTSCCCATGCAGTCCGACAGCAACTGCACTGGGATAAAAATTAAAGGTGTTCTGGGAACAGTAGAGGCAGTTTGAAAAAAAAAATGACAGTTGCAGTTGAAGAGGTATTTCAAAATAAAATTTAATATTAGAAGAATTACATTCAAATTTAGCATCGAATACACATAACCATTATTTAATGCTCTGCAGTTCAAGTTCTGCTGTTCTTTGGCAGTTATCTTAGTTGCATCTGCTGTATCTTTTTTTGCTGCAGGAAAATTAAACTCTTAAATGCCTAGGTATTTTTCCTTCTATGTATCATGCTGGGTTGCTATGATATCCCGAAGCTGAAGTACCCAAAGAGAAAGCTGAGCTGGGTTATTCTGAAAACAAGCAATACACGACACCACAAAGTGCAATATTTTCTCTCCGAGTTGTTATACCGAGGTTCTATGTTAAAGCTTTTCAGATTTACCTAAGTTAAGTTATACTGCTTGAGTAGTACCAGTGTTAGAGCAGTACAGCCTGCCTCCTTCGTGTGAATTTAACAGCAGCAGAGTAAAATTTAGAATGGTCATAGTTAGTCTTAGATAAAGAATAAAGATATACTGGTAATGATAGCTTTAGGCCTAGGTAACTGCACCCTCTCTATATCCTTCCTCCAAAGTCAGGAATATTTTAGCTAGAGCCCCTTCCTTCTTGTTCCCTCCGTCTTTATATAATGATGAAAGATCTGCTTATACACTATCTTTTAAAGAGCTTAACACTCACTGCTTCAGTGAAAGAATTCTACAGGTCACACACACCTGCTGCTGCCGCCTTGAACAGCAATGATCTGCAGAACCACAGAACAAAGGCAGAAGTATCTACGGAAGGTAAAAGATTTAAAAGTGCGTGGTATTTCTGTAGAAGGTAAGACACTCTTGTGCCTGTAGAGCTCTAAAGTGTAGATCACAGGTTCTGCTTATAAAGTTCATCACTGGGGCTAAGAAGATAAAGTAAAGAGCAGGTGACGGTGACCGATGCTGATGCTCACACTGGAGCATGGGCAGTCTTAGCAGCATGTTCCCCTTCAAGTGGAAAGGGGACAAAGCCTTCAATAAAGGGTACTCATGTACCAGCTTTTGTTAGTGAGGAAGTTAAARGAGAACACAAGTTTATGGAACCTTATAGAACAAGGCTAAATAAAATGCTTGGTGGCAAAAAMTTGTCTTAGCTTTTAGCAACCCATTTGACAGCATCTTATTTTTGAGAAGTTCCCAGTTATGGGATGCAAATACTGGCAAGTTGAAAGTAGAACTGCCAAGTTATCCTGAGTATTCCTTTTAAAAGTTGATTTTACAGAAGTTTAAAAAAAAATTAATAGTATCTCAGTCCAATTTTAAAATAATGCTTAAAAAGGATAATTTTGCACTTGTGCTCATTGCAACAGCATTGAAGACTGTTACTAAATTAYGTTAAGAAATGCAAACAATACACATTCCTAATGACTAAGCAATATTACAACTCAGTCTATCACTTGCCTTAATTGTATAAATGCACACTGTTTAACTTTAGCATAAATCTCTAAGTGTCAATGCACTAGTCAGCATTACAGTATTACCACAGCGAAACATCTTGTTCAATGTTTCGTTATTTTAGTTTACAATCCACRTATCTGTGGGTTGAAACACTGCAGAGCACAGCAGCCTTCCGCGTTTCTGCGCGACTTCTGAAAAAGGTCCCCCGACTTCACTGCGGAGTGACAACAAATGAATTCATTGTCAATGACATTCATTTTRTGTGTCCCTTTAAGCTTGAGAAATACAAGAGGGATGAAATCCAGTACTCAGCACGTAAGTTCCAATGTTTCAAGCAACGCARGTGGCAGTCACCAGTCTGCAGGTTTTTTCTCACAAAACCTGTGTCTCTAGGCGCAAAGGTGTTGAAGTAAATAAGCAGACAGGTGGTTAACACAAGAGCAAAGCTCTTCACCATTAAAAATACGTTAAGCATCCCCTGAGACAAATCAGCATTGCCAATTCWATCAGAAAATCCACCAAGTATGAAAATTCAAGAGAGTTCACTCCTACACATTAAAAAAAACCCAAACACTATCCTAAACTTTTCCCTTACTACCGTTCCCAACATGAAACTATGCAGTTTACTAAAAGAACTAACCTGCTTTCTACATCCTGGGTAGTAGTAGCAGTGTGGTTCCAAAAAAGCTGCACCTTGAACTTTARTAGTCTTGGGACTGGGAATGACTTAAGCCTTGTGAAACCTAGAAGCAGCCAAACCTAATTTTTTATATTTAAAAATAAAATGCTTTAAAAATGCAGTTTTCTTTTAGTTTGAATTGGGCTCTTTGTATACAGAGAATTTTATTTTTATAGGATTAGCTTAGTTTAGCTTGCATTTCTGAAGCGCAAAGTGAACCTAATTACTGAAAGAACATAGTTCTTTCATTTAAAAATCGATTTAGAATATTTTTAGTCAATTATTAACATAAAAACCTAAATTGTGCAGGTTGCAAACCTGCATAGGTTTGTCTCCTATGCAGGAATCGCTAATCTTGAAAGACACTCCTATAATACAGAATTTCAGATTACAAACACAGTAAGTAGCAGTTATTTGCACAAYGCTCAAACTTATAAAACATCTAATTGAAATTTAAATGATTTATTTAGAAGTTAAGAACAGAAGTTCTGGAATAAAAAGGAGTAAGAAAAAATAAAGAAGGTGCAGTAGGAATGGGCTTTAATGTCAGGAAATGGCTTTTCTGCAAACTGATTGTACACTGTCATGCAAATTCACTTTATCTTAATTTTACTTTCAAAAGAGTTGCAAAAGCAGTTTAAAATACTCACATGAGAAGCTACTAGATAAACAGTACAGGTTCTGCTTTCACCAAGTCAAAAATATTCTTCCTTTATTTACAACAAAAACTCTTTAATCGCACACACATTGAAATCAAGTACAAGAATACAGTAACCATGATAAATTTTCTCTAAACTGTATTCTTTTTTCTTCCCACAGGAGCTGAAGAGAAGAATCTTTGCCTTTTAAAACCACTGGGAAGCCTGGATTACTGAAGTGCACTCCACAAATGCAGTTTCAAAACTGAGGAAAAAAAAGTGAAGAACTGCAGGGGTTTCAACTCCTTGAGTAACATTTCACCTTTGTTTCACAGCTTATTCAACACAAATAAAGCATTTGCCATGATGCTTAACTTTCCATGTTTTCAAGAAAGTCACATTCCACACTGTCTTCGAGCTGTTGCAAGATCTTTATGCCATTCCCGCCAACGTAGTCCACAGGGAGAGAGGCAGCAGCCTGGCAATTCTGGGGCTCGCTCCCCTTGGCTATAAACGCACAGCACAGAGTCTTGAAGAAGGGTGCAAGCTGCGTGATGCTAGATATAGAGCGGAAGTCCAAAAGGGGAAATTTGTGCCTTTTGGAAGTTCTCTCRTTAGTATTGTTTGTTTCCTGTAAGCATACAAAGCAAGAGGTTGCATTAGGACACCATGTCRTCTACCGCATGTGGTTCATTTGAATCCTCTGTTGGAGGCTTGCTTTCATGCTGAGAGATCAATAGCCTACAATTCTACCATGACAGCAACTGTATARTTGGTATACCAAGTTATTTCTATATCCAGATTCGAGTTTCCATTAAAAGAAAATCCCACAAATTCAGAAGACTACAAATTTGCACTAGCCTTCAAAATCAGAATGAGACATTCAAGCACAGAATATTGAGATGACAGATAGCCTGTAATGATAGTCCTGCATGGGACAAACACCAGTTTCTCACCGGGTGCATTTAGGCAGATTTAAGGAAGCAACAGGAAACTACCACTTCATAACCATAAGCAATTTGGCATCTTCAAGATATGTGTGTGAAAGCAGACAGATCATTTTTAAAGCCTGATGAATCTTTCTTTATATCTATAAACCTCTTGCCTACCTTACTTCTCTAAGCAAGTGACAAGATCTAAAATTAATGACTTCCATACAAGTCAAATATGATCAAAGTGAAGCATTCTTTCTTTACCCCGTATTTCTTCTTTAGCAGATCCATGATTCTTAAAATGTGCGGTCTGCATTCTTGATGATTTTCTATCAGATGAGAATTCACAGTACACGCTTCTGTGTCAATCTCTGGAACAAATGCCCACTTGTACCTGAAACAAATGGATKAAATTGTTAAGAATATAGTCAGAAGAATTAATTTCTTGGATAATAGATAGAMGAGCACTATTTTGTTTACAGTAAATAGCTGTCATAACTTGCTGCTACCAAAGTGAAACCATGTTCTGACCACCAGGTCTGTGCCCTTCACACTTGGGAGATCTGGGAGAAGAGAAATGCCTAGTGACGAAACTTAAATCTTCTTACACTAACATGTCAACACTGTTTCTCAAATATACAAATTGCATTTGTCCTAATATCAGCATTTGTTCTTGTAGAAAGAATGCAGGGCAAAATTTATTATAGAACAAAATAGATATGAAATTGCTTTAAAAGAACAGTAACAAACTCCACAATAGATAAGCAACCAGAGGACTTACATCTGAAATAATTGCATCTTGTCGGGAGGAAATGAAAGTGCTGTATCCAAAAATTTACAAGCTGATAAATACAAGGACAGCTCATTCTGCTGTATGTCAGGAAGTAAGGACCCACTGCCATCAGCTGATACTTTCTGTCTGCTTATTTTGCTGTTGCTCCTGCGTTACAGTCAAGAAATGCACTATTAAAACATATAAATCACAGATTTACACAACGCTTGAGATTGGAAGTGATCTCTGGAGATGAGGTCAACCCCACTGCTTAAGCAGGGTCATGAGGAACATGTTGCCCAGAACCGTATCCAGGTGGGTTTTGAGTATGTCCAAGGCACCCCACACCCTCTATGGGCAACCTGTTCCAACGTTCAACCACCCTCATAACAAAAAAGTTTTTCCTCATGTTCACATAGGACTTGGCTGGCATGTTCGTGACCACTGTCTCTCATCCTACCACTGGGCACTGCTGAAAAGACCGCAGCTCCATCATCTTTAAACCCTCCCTTCAGAAACATACAYGCACTGCTAAGATTCCCTCTTGATTTTCTTTTCTCCAGGCTAAACMGTCTWCTCTCCACTAAATGTTTTTTATTCAAGAAAAGGGGAATGTACCTGTGCACATAAAAGGCTTTATTTCCAGTCTATATTAGCACTGAGATTAATATCAAAGGCTACTGTCAGAAATATATCTTAGCAAAAGGTAAAAATGAAATATTGTAAAATATTAGAATGCTAATGTAACATTTTTCTATTTTTGTATGCAGAATACAGAATTAGAATATATTATTTTAGCTTCTGAAAAAATCCTAAACTAAGATTCACCTGTGCCAGAAATATGTAAGCACAATTAGTAAAAGTTGTCATCTCTCCCCATACTAGAGAATGCAAACACTGCAGCAAGAGAACATGCACAATCAGTACTAGCTTTTACAAGTTCTCTACCAGATAAATGGCAATTCTTACTTTGGTGGTTCATCTTCCTCGGTTAAATCTTCTTCCAGCTGTAGAAATGTCTGAATCTTTAAATAAATAATTTATGGACACGTTAAAATGTTCATAGAACTCAAGCACAAAACTATGTTTCATATAGTATGAGGAACCAGATTTAGTTCACTCTATGAGTTGCAAGAAGTTACGAAGTCATGCAATAACAACAAAAATCAATGAAGAAGATATTTCTTAATGAATATATTAATTATTTTCCCAAACTATCAAATATGTGTAAAGCTATGAAAACATTTCCTTTTTCAAATACGGTGTAAAGGGAGGCGAAATGGAGAAAAAAATTCACACTAATTAGTTTCAAGTTACTTATTCCTTACCAATTCAGTTACCATAATTGGCCACAGCGAGGTTAGATGCTGAGGAGAAATTCTTAGCAAAAGAACTCTGAAGAAGAGAAACATCTGTGCTGCAACTATGGAAGTTTGCCCAACACGAAGGTTCTCGGTCAGTCGTTCTGAAATGAAGATTAAAAAAAGTATTGTTTTCCTGAACAGGCATTTTTTTGTGAATTCAAAAATTTAGAAGACCACAGAATAAAATTTGTTATTGTATTGTATTCTTGTTATTTTGTCAAAATTGACATTTCAGAACATCAAGAACAGTCAATGACACTGGTGGGAAGCTTGCCAGAAATAATCGCGTTTCCAAACAAAATTCTAACCCAAAGGCTCTGTGCCCCAGATCCCTGTCTCTCTTAACAACATTATACACAGGAATTCTAACAGAGTCCAGCATTCATAACTTTCTGGTGAAAATTTTGAAAAACAGAAGTACCTACTGGAAAATAGGTGACATTTTTTCCTAGGCAATTTATGCATGTTATATACGTAAAGAACGCAGATTAAAAAACAAAGAACAACAACAACAAAAATCCTTACCTTGTATTAATGGAAGGTAGAGATGATATTGATCCACCTCTCCACTAAAAACAGCAAAAGCTTGTCGCTTCAGCAACATTGCTTTCTGCTCAAAACTTGGGTAGAGTTTTAAGGCGCTGCTCTGCATATCTATAACAGACAGGAATTATTTTCATCACAAATCACAAGTAGTCATCCATGGTACATAAGAAATAATTATCATGCTTTGAAGTCTTTTAAAAATAAAAATTCCAGTAAGGTCTACCGCACAGAATAACAGAATCAGTGCTGATCTAGGTCTGCTCACACTGGCAGGAAAATGAGGTGGAAGCAGCACTGCAACTCCAGAGAGGCCATGCAGTGCTTTAAGACCCTGTCTCAACCTCTGTGTGTGCAAGGGTCCCTCTTTTTAGTCACATAAATCCATATATGAATGATATCGAGACTTTTAAGACTTGTTGAGGAAAAGAAGCCGAGATCTTTGGCAAGTTTTTTAAAAATATAGTTATGAAAAAAGAAAAAGGGAATTAGTCTTGCTTTGCATCCCTTCAGCCATTTTTAAAAAGTTCTGAATAAGAGACTGAAGCACAGCCTTTGTTTTATAGCTCCTGGCAAACTTAATCGCCTGAGACTGCCCCAGGTTTGCTGTGCTCGTGTACCACGTTCCTGCAGCTCTGTGCCATTACACAGGCAGGTACAAAGCCAGCCAAACTGTCTGAACAGGTCATGCATGCTGGCGCAATCAAAAATTATGCCAAAAATATACTTAGAAAAGCCCAGTGTGACATTTACGAGGGAAATAATTATGATTTTTTTAAACTATAGTGAAATATTACAGAAAGTTAGTTTAGCCTTAGTTATGAATACAGTTAGCAATAGAATTACAGATCTGGAATAGTCTGAAGTTTACTGATACTTCAGTATTTTAAAATGTACCTAAAAGCTCAAAAGGAAACGAATTTCAGATTAACATAGAAATAAGTTATCAGTAGTTGATACTCACTCATCAAATCTTTGAACATTGTTTTCTCATGTGTTAGAAGATGATCAACAATGGATCTCCAACTGAATAAAATATAAAAAGAAAGAGATAAGCAGCTGCATTCATCACAGATAGATTATCACCAGATTATTGCATAAAAGATTTTGGTCAAACATTTGCTCAAAGGCTTTCTTTGTAAATTCAAAATTAAAAAAAAAAAAAAAATCACAGAGTACTATAATCTCATGCCTTACTGAGTGCATGAAGTGTCCATTTGGAAAAAAGCTGGATCCATATACAGCTCAAGAACTTCTTTTTTCCAGGCTCGCTTGGTATAGGCATATCCACTCAATGAGCTGAGCAACTGAGCACCAGCACGAAAGCTTGGAACGTTGTAGGCACTGCAGAAAAAGAACAATAGTGGTATAAATATGTTAAACATATTAATATGTTAATTACACATATGTAGCCAGAAAGCAAACTGAAATTCCGCTCAAAACTCACTGCAGYAAGAGATCAGCAGATGAAAGCAGTTTGTGCTCTTCCCGTTTCCAGCATACCTTGTTTGSAGAATTAATTTCAGGTTAAATTACTGTAGCACAGCATTGCCTGTACCCACTACAGACGTGGTACAAAACTTTCTGGAAAGTTTCCTACAAGCTTTTGCATCTTTGTGAGCAGGTCCTTCTACAAGGCACCACACTTCAGATTGGTCCGTCACTCAGCTACACTCTGGGTATGAAGTCTCACATACAAGATCTAGYACTGCTGCTTCTCCTACTGCTCCGCTATACCCTCTTTCACTTTTCAGGCTTGGGAGAAGAGCTAAGACCAGCAGAAGGCATTGCCCTYGACAGGTAGGAAGGACAGCAGCAGATGCACAAACTTGGATGAGAAAGGGTGTAGTTGAGATTGTCATGAGATGGCACCATGCCCCCACACATGATTATGCAGGTCCCTGCGTGCTCAAGAGGAAAGCTACTGCCTTGCTTTGTTTGGCATCCTGCAAGTCAACTCCTGGCAGTTTGGTAAGGGCAGAAACACGCCCATGGTCAYGCAGGTTAGTTTCTAACTGCTGAGAAGCCCATGCAACAGAATCACCTAGGCCACCTGCGGGGGGAAATTGCTGACGGGGACTCCACATTCCCCTCCAATGCCCTTTCCAGGGTGGTTATGGCTGCGTAGGATAGTTAGGGCTGATGGCCTTGCCAGGGCAACACTAGAGAACCAGCAAGGGAGGGCTGTTGGCATCTCATCAACTTCAGCAGGACTCCTGATGCCCATTTCTTTTTCTGAAGTCAATCTCTCAGGTCAAAAGGAATAGCTGTATCTTCCTTGAAGAAAACAAAACAAGACACCACCACACACCCCAAAACTAGGCTGCTTAAATYTCCATGGAGATTTCCACTGCAAGGGAGATTGCAGAAGCTGGCACTTATCCCCTGCAACAGTTCACAAGACCATGTCTTGAAAACTGGCATGGGCACCAGCACTGTCATCAGGCCATCTCCACCCACGGGGCAGATGTGGAATGAGCAGCTCGCAGCAGCTGTGGGCTAGCAGACCTGGCACAGCAGCTGGAWGTCAGCATTCCCGGGAAGCATTTCCAGGGTGGCTGTGCTGCATGCAGGGTTCTCCTCCAAGCCCGCTGGGCATACTGACTGCATGCCTGGCATGGGTTAAGTTCCAGCCACCACGAGCGAAAAACATGCCATACATGCAGGAGCTGACAAGTCCCTCTCTTTCTCTTCCKGAGCTGTGGGTCATGCTTTCCAACTTTGGTATAAACTGGGCTGTTCAGGAAAACACAGCAGCTAGGGAAAGGGGGAAGCTTAGTAATGGCTTCCACAGCAGCAGCTGCCACTCAGGAGGACAGGACGAGCACGGAGCGGGTCACATCGCTTGCTGCCGCTTTGCAGAGAGCTGCCAGAGAAGGSAGGATGTGCTTTCCAGCTCATCTGTGAGCAGCAACTAGAAGAAGGTGAGGGAGGCATGAGACAAGACCAACCGACAAGGCCCTGGAGAATGGAAAGTAAAAACTTCATAGCGAAGAAACTTTTCCCGCTCTCTCCCTCTCCTGCCACTACTGGGGAAGTGCTGTACTGCGCAGCTGTCAGAGGAGATCACCCATCTCTCCTACTCCTACACTTCTAGCTAAAAATGAGGCAGGGCTTTGGGAGGGACTGCAACCTTCCCACTTCAGGATGGGTTTTGCAATCTGTCCAGAGCCTTGATACCCCATTCTACAGCCTGGGCCCATTCCCAAACATAGACACAAAGATGAGCCTTAAGGAAAGGCCAAAAACCTGGATAGAAGGAGTATCCATAGATCAAGAGAAACTGGCCAGCACACAGATCAAACACCACCACACTTCAGTTTCTGGAGGAATCTTGGTTCATAGCTTGTAAGAATGGAAATAGGGAAGGAGCAGGAGGAACAACACAAATTCTTCTGTGGGCCAAAGGAGTCYATAGGAAGACAAAATTAACAAATCTGGCCAATGTGGCCCTCGCAGCCTCCATGTCGACCATGAGAGGAGCCTCTTGGCATCCCACCCTACTAAACTGACGGGTGCATGTGGTTAGGGGCTCTGCTCCCTGCCCACACGCCAGCCATGAAAGGTGCTGTGGTCGCCTTCAGCATCAGGAAGCAAAGCTGCTCCCTCCAGCAAGGTGCCCTGCAGTTACAAGCAGGGAGTCCCCAGGGACCAGACCTGCTATGTGGGCGGCCGGTCCCACCTCTTCAGAGCCTCCTGCTCCCGAGTGTTGCCAACCTGGTGTCAAGTGGGCCAYGTCTGCCCTGCTGAGCATCCTGCAGGAGCCTTTCTAACACATTTCTATTATCTTCCTCCCTCTGCAGGGATATTTTGGCCTTTGGGTGCTCCAAAACAGCCCCTTGGGGTGCAGACTGCCTCCTGCCCACAGCCGTGTGGGAGCAAGATGGAGGGACATCCACTGCAACTCCTTCCTCGAAGGATTATATGGAGGATGGAAGAATAAATCCATCACTTCCCAAGTACTGTGCASTCTGAAGATGCACAGTAGTTAGACAACTAATCCTACCTGGGGCCTTCCTCCTGCTAGATTCCAGTTTTCCTCAAGGAGCACAGGAAAAGGCCTTTGAGCATAAGAGGGTCTCCTGTCTGTGTGCTCTGAAYGTGCTCCAGGCAGGGTCCAGATTGAAGGCCTGTGCTCCAGGGGCTGCACAGCCTACGGGCTGCCTTGTGCACTGCCAAACCAAAGCCTCACAGCAGCAGCACTGTAACACTGCTACTCACTGCAAGCGGGTGGTGAAACCTTGAGCTTATTTGTATGCAAAGGGGAAATGAGCTTCACCATGGACTCTGTCCTCAGCAGCTCCTCAGCTACCAACTGCTCTGTGTTCAGAACAAACAGCAGCTCTTCAGTCAGCAACAGCGGCTGCAAGGCAGGGGCAGAACATTGTAGTCACTGACCTGGCCATGACTCTGCAACTGCCTGATCTGGAGGACGAAAGAGACTAGCAGCTGGTTCTTATTACAGAAGCCCAGGAGGGGGTTTTATTGTGACAAAGCGCTGTACACACAGCTGCCCCAATGCCTGTCTGAGACATCCACACAGATGGGATGTGCAGTTTCTCATTTAAGTGATTGATATGTGGAAGACTTGGCACATCTCATGGCCCCATGACAAAGCAGTCCTTGTGGTCAAAGTAGCGATGTACACAGTTTCTCTGCTTTGGAAAAAAAAGCCTATTTTTTGGATAAAATTAAGGTATTCATTAAATAAGAGGATTAATTCATGCACAAAACTACTATAAAAATAAGTGCAGAAAAACTTTGGTTTAAATTGACAGCTGTGCTCAGGCCAGCTCTGGGATAGAAAAGGTTCCATGGCTGAGAAGTGTCCCTAGACATGCCTCTGCTCAGATCTCCCCGAGTGGTCCAGGGCCAGCACATGCTCCTCTAGATACCACCAGATGCACAGTGACCCTCAGATTGAGCCCAAAGAGGCTGCAGACTTCTCTAAGATTTCTTCTAGCTCTCAGTAATAGGCACTGTGCTGCTCATCTCTCGCCACAGCCTTCATTCAGACCATTAACAAACTCTTGGTCACTTTCACACTGCCTTTCTTACCTTGTTGCCCTTCTCCCCCAAGAAGCATAAAAGGTAGGCATAAAAAATGCCAGAAACTGAGAAGCAATGACAGTAAAGGGCAACGAAAGCAGTAGTATTCATGAGGGCAGAAAAGAAATRAGGGCTGGTAAAGGTGGGTGGGAGTGTTGAAAGATTGGAAGGATAAAGGAGAAGTGGACAGACAGGTATCAAATGTATGGAAGAACTGAAGGCCTGCAATGGAGGGCAAGCTTACCTGGCCCACAGCACAAGAACAGCTTCTGGATGTCCCAGGTTTGAGTAACTTCTACCGGCTCATGTGAGATAGCTACTCTAGTCCTTCCCATGGCAGCATGGTCAGGAACTAGTAAGCCCTGMTGGGTCACCTTCGTAGAGGAGCTTCTGCCCTGGTTCCCTCCAAATGCTTTTAAAGCGAGCAATAAAACTTGAAGAATTTAATTTTACAAATGAAGATAATTCAGGGGATTCACTTAAAGTCCCTATAAGTTCATCTGTAGCAGCTCTGTCTCTTTAGCAAAATGTAGTTTCAAAATGGAGAGTTAACCATCTCACTTGGGTCTGACTGTGGTTTAGAAACTCAGCTCTACTTCAGGGCAGTGCTGCAAATGTTTGATAGGGCACTGCTGATAAATCACTCTTTGACAGATGGCTCTTAGGTGTTTACACTGAAAAGTGATCTGGCATTTTTAGCATTAACTTCCTAGATATGCTAGATACTTTTCCCAAAGGAAAGGTTACTGTGGAGAATGACTCATCACTCAGGATGCAAGACCACAGACAACTAAGGCCAAAGAACACAACTTGGCGCAAGCTAACAGTATAAGCAACTTCACATACGAGTACCTTTTCAGAGCATTTATTACAGCTCTTAAGAGCAAGGAGTTCTCATTACTTGTTCCTGTAGTTGGGAAGTATATTTGTGGGCAACAAAGAGAAGGATAGAATTATCCCTGAGGTTTATTTTAGCCTACTGTCGTTAGTTCCCTAGACCTTCCACAGTGAGAGGAAAGCTCTTCTGAAGTGTGAGCCTGCATTTTTCTCTGGGCACAGGATACAACAGGGCTAAGGCTCGTAAAGAAAGTTTCTCTTACTTGGGTTAAGTGATTATTTTCTAGACCAAAAGGTCATCTTTATGATATAGGAAGGGTAGAATATGCTTATTTGTCCCATATAGTTAATGACCAAATTAGAAAGCTATTTATATGAGGTTTTGCATTGCCAGTCTCCAATCCTAACAGTTCTACTTAAYTATTAAACACTCATGAACAGAAGGAAAAGAAAACTAAGCGAAATCTTGACAGTGTTCTCAAAAATCAGGTTTAAGAAATAATACTAAGAGAGAAATCACCTGTGGTTGCGTAGATAGGGAAATACATAATAAAGCAAACGTGAGATCAATGGCACAGCTTTCTCCTTCTCATCACTCCGGTAAACCATGTCCAAGAGAGAAGCAAGAACCTTAAAAGTAAAAAGAGCCTCATTAAAACTACAAYATGTATCTCAGAAAAAAAGTTAAGAGCATGCCATATTTCAGGATAGTTGTGTGTGCAAGAAGAATGTCTCACTGAAGATTTAATTCTCATTAAATCTAATGGAAAAAAATCAAACATAYTGCGCCACTCAACAAGAGCAATTACAACCCCATGGATGAGAGCAGCAGCTACAAAACTGGTTACTTACTTCTGCAAGGAGTGAAAGAGCTTGGACACTGTATATTGAGGGAGCAGAGGCAGAAACCATTGAAGATGGTGTCACRGATGTATCTACAAGAGGAAAAATCACTGAGTTTGCACTTCAGACAAAACATATCTAATCTTTGTTGTTTGCTAGTTTTCTTCCTAAATAGAACTGTTACTTGCACATTGGTATTACAACAAAGTGATTCTGGAGATCTTACTAGGATGACATACCTTGCCCTCATCTTGTGCTTTTCCATGCATTGCATGCATCTGCAGTACATTTTCCTCTGTATTACACACAATCTGCAGATATTTATTAATTCTGCTCTAGGCTGGCACTGTTAGTGGGTGACAAAGCATATTTGTCATTTTACTTTTTGTCTAGTTTACTTCTTTCTCACAAAGACTGCATACTGTCTAACACCTTATAACTTCACAGTGAACTTAAGTGGTACATAGTAGCAGAAAAACAGAAAACACCACGTTACCATTCACATCTTCAATGYTGAACTCATCTGGTAAAATCTGAGGTTGAGCTTTCACTTCTAAATTCCGACTCAGCCAGCTAGTCTGTTCCAGAGAAGAACCGGCGATGGTCCCTACAGCCTCCAATATTTTTTGGGTCACATCCTATAATATAACCAGACAATCTGGCATCAGAAGAAAGCTATCATCGCCTGGTCAATACAGTAAAATCACTTTTATATTGAACTTGATAGGATTTTTTCAAGTAGGCACTTCTATCCATATCTTAGAAACATAAATACACCTCTGATCTGTGTTCAAGAGTTCCCTTCAAACGAAAGTGGTCAAGAAAATGGAAATCGGGAAAAAAACTTCAGAAGATTTAAAAAAAACATAAGGAGATTTTAATTACAATTTTGTACACAAGCAATAATGAATATTTTCTATTCAGCATCAGTCCCATTACACTCGGTGTAAACTGTCACCTGTCAAGGATGACATCCGACTTGTTCAGCCCTTCAGAAACAGCATACCAATTCCTGCACTGTTTTGGAAACACTGTTTGTTTCCAGACAATGCAGCTATCTGCCTTTTTTTACTTTTATTCTTGGAGACAACTAAGTCAGGCTCAGTTTTATTTCGGGGGTAATCCATTTGACTATACTTCAGTCTTTCTATAAGTGTAAAGCAAAACATGGCTTCAAACTATATCCATAATTTCATATTTCAACACATTGCATTCTCAGTGAAATTAAAAACTGGTCASTCTATGGAAAGGAAGTCCCAAGTATTCAGCTAAAAGCAGAGGTCATTTGTGAAGAMGGCGTAAGATGGCAGAACAGTCATTTTGTTGTCACTGTCATCTTACCGGCCAATCTCTGAAGCAGAAGTAGAGATCTATTTGCTCTGCTGGCAAACAAAATTACCATAACACTAYCTCACCTCACTACATGATGTTGACTCAGTCAATACTGCACACACATGGGTAGCGCTTAAAACTSTTCAGGTGAAAGCATGATCAGTACAGGAAGAGAACCCTGTTCTCTACCCCTTGTTTACATAAGAAGTGAGCTGATAGTTATTTACATTGCCAAGCCCATCCATGAGCTTTAAGGATAACTAAATTCAGTACTTATATATGTACTCATGATATCACATTTGCATTCTAATTCAAACTGAGAAAAAAAAAAATCACAAAAAATACCCAGAGAAAATAGTTTTGAACACTCCATAGYTACCACTGATTTGACATGTTTTTGGCAAAATTTTTTTAGAGAAATTCCATGCAACAGATCTCTCATTCTTGACTCTCTCATATTTATCTGGCCTAAGCCACAACATACGGATACTCATTCACATGCTCTTAAAGTACAGGTGAATTCRGACACTAAGAATGCATCACACCATCTCTACTTTTACTTAGATGTACAATACTGAATTAACGAACTAAAACAAATAAGTATATATGTATACACAGTACCTGTAAGTCTTTTTGGTCTTTTTTGTTCTCTAGAGTAGGTGTTCTAGTCACAAAGTCATTCAGAATACTGTGGGAAAATAATTCACTCCAAGTTAGTAACTGGACAGTTCTACTCAAYGTACCTCTAAACTTTATTCTCTCATAAGCTCTACCTGAGAAGTAGGAAGTGTCCAGGAGGAGCCAAATTCAACTGTGCAGACTCCTTCAGAAGTCCTAATAAAGGCTGGAAGTTCTCCTGTAAGGCTGAGACAGGCAGTCTACAAAAAATGAATACAATTAAATAAAAAAAAAAAAAAGAGAAAAAAAAAAAAGAGGTTGAAGTTAAGGTTCAAGGATCTCCTTCCCACCCCAAACATACAGAGAAAACCCAAAACACCACCAAACAACACTTAATGACCCTAAAAGCTTCCATCAAGTTTAGTCTTTTGGATCCTATCCCTTCCTAATTAATCCAATAGTGTGGCAAATACCTGGCAGCACAGGTAATATGCTATATTAGTACCTGCTAGCAGCATGTGCAATACATCAACCAGCACTGTAAAACGGTGGATCTCCATGGAGAAGAAAAGCAATAAAGCTCAACTAGTTCCTCCATTGCATGCTAGCTTACTTTTTATCTCCCTAGTTTCTTGCATTTCATAAATTGTAGAGCATCCTGTATTCCAGGCCAACTACACAAAGAGAAGTTTWGATCCAAGGACTATTGTGGAGACTAATCCTATGCTCCCAGGGCAGATCGGATTCACAGTAATTCTACTATGTCCTTCTGGGAAGACTGGAAGTAAGATTTAGCATTCTCTACATGTTCCTCTGGCAACACAGAGTGGATGAGAGGTGAGAAATATTCTAAGAACCCAATATGTCTTGTTAATGAGAGAAACTGAAGTACATTGCTCACAACTGGTATAAAATAAGACTTTAAAACTCACATTATCAACCGATTGACAGAACATAATGACACAGCCCTGTTACTTTGTGCCTATCTGTCACTTAGGAATGAGGTGGCAATAACCACTTCCAATATAAAGGTGTTTTATGCCACAGCACCATAATGATCAAAGTGAAACTAACACAGTAATACTGTTACCCTAACTTTTAGTGTAAAATAGGAAGTCCTTTTCTATAAGGACTGAATTACCTTTGAATGAAAGCATAACTGAAYTGCAGCATGGGAATATCTACAAGAGAAGATTTCTGAAAGAGAAAAGCAAGAATGCCATTATTCACCTTCAGTAGAAGACCACGTTAWTGGGTACTTGTGTTAGATGGAGAAGCTTAGATGCCTTCATAGATGTCATCTGTACTCTCAACTATGACAGGCAACTAAGTATGATTCAAACATCCACACAGCAGCATGAGAGGCAGTTCAGAGATTTTAATAGAGGACCACTCTACTTCAGAAGCAATCACATTACTTCCGAATATCCAATAGAGGATTTTCAGAACTGAAGGAGCTCCTACAAGGGCATGCAGAGCAGCAAAAGCCTTCCCTGAAAGCCAGTTAGAAAATGGCAGAGTCAATGGGGAAGCATTTCTAACAATCAGTCTAAGGACAAGAAGATAGAAAAGGCATCACTGAGCTTTACATTCTCACTAGCTTTATAAAGCTTTGTCATGTTACTCTGCACTGGAGAACTCCACAACTATTCATTACCCCACAACTATTCATTACCAGCAACTTCTCTAGCAAGATATTCTGAAGCACCAACTTATTTTGAATTGATCTGAACAGAGAAACCTACACTATGGAAAATATAATTTATTAGGGAACAAAAATGAAGCATACTTTTAAAAACACCTTTCCTTCTAAGGCTATTTAAAAGACCCTTTGAAACAGAACCAGAATAGAATACATGAAGAAAATTGAATTATCTTGGCAGTTACCTCTTCGCCTTTGATTTGTGATGGTTTCTTGACTACTTCTTTGACCAGTTGTAATATAGTGTCTATTTTCAATGTGTTAAGTGCACACATCAAGTCCACAAGAATAAGCTGAGATGCACTAGGCACTGGAAGAATCTGGCAAAAGAAAAACCCAAACACACCCATATTCCCTGTGAGATGCTGCCAGGCAAAATACGAAGTTGAAACACTTTTCAGTTTGAAAACTTGAAAGCTTTTCTGGTAACTAATCAGATATCAGCACTTCAGTAAAACTCATTTGAGACAAGTTAAATCAACTATGCAATGTATCAGGACCTTCCCCAACACCTCCAAAGTGATTTCTGCATGCCCAAGTGAAAGCACAAGAGAGGCTCCTATTCAGAAACTATATTCAGTTACAGGAAATATCTATCTCTTAAATTTTCCTCTGGAAATGAAGCTGATGCAGYGTTACAATTGGTACTAAGAAAGAAAGTGGCTATCAGTGTTGGACTTGAATTGCCACACTCTCCTTTTTATTTGATTACTTCTATTGGTTTATTTATAGAATTATGTATTAATATGAACAATGAACACTTYATATTCTTCAGTGGCTTGCCTCTGTCACTTGCAAAGAAGTTAAGAACAAGACCAGAGTTTAGACCTGGTCATTTGCTTTTACACTGAAAAAATAAGCATACAGTTCTTTAATGTCACCTTCATTTTACTTTGAGTCCTATGAGGTTTCTTGCTGTTCCATACTGCTGCAATTGCTGCCATCAACTGGATTCCTAGTTGTGCTGTCAGTGGGTTCAGGAAGTCCAATATTTTAGCTTTTAACGTCTACAAGGGTGTAAAAAACCAAATGAACAAAAGATTCGTCATTGCTAACTTTTGTAAGGCAAAAGATAAGTCATAAGTTTTTGCCTTTTTTTTTTTTTTTTTTTTTTTTTTTTTTTAAACTATCGCTCCATTTCTAAAGATATTCAGAAAGAAAACAACAGTAAAAACTTCTTTCCAGGATTGGCAGTCAGGCTACATTTAACAATTTTCTCTTAAATTAGTGTCTGCCTTAAGGAAGCAGACACATATCTTGYAAAACAGACAGCAAACARAAAAAATAACTTCTTGTGGTATGTYCTCTCTCCTCCAGGTGTTTTTCACTATTACATTTTATCAATACCTAAATGGAAAAAAAGGAAGGATTTAGCATTTTTGTTGCAGAAGGGTTTAAAAATGTAACAGTTAGACTGAGCAATATGCATTCCACTTAAATAAGTGAAAAAAGCTGTTCTGCAACAAAGTTAAAAAAAAAAGTCAAAGAACAAAAAAAAATTGAAGGCTGTAAAAGACAGGAGCTTAAATCWGTTGCAATGATCTGCCAATAGAATAAGAAATTTAACCCTTCTTTGGGAAACTAAGTATTAAGTGTATAAAATCATTTAAACATCCTTCCTTTTACAATTTACTATGTGTTTCAATACACTTTGATRCTTTTGCTAAGAACTGAAGTTTGTAAATTAAAAGATCAAACCGGATGTTCTYAGTCACCAACTATTACTCACACGCTCAATGGCTCTGAGGAAGCTTTCTTATGGAAAAGTAATTTTATTGTTTTACTAGGAATCATTAAAAAGAAAGAAAAAACAACACTCACAGAATCCAATTATATATAGTAACCTAAAGGTAAGCACTGGCAATGGCTTAACACAATAACTTTCTTTCCACTGACTTTAAATGAGGAGATTGAATTCCATGGAATGAAGTAAATGAAGTTACACACACACACACACACAAAAAAAAAAGGACAAACTGCAACTTGTATGGCAATATCATTCACAAAAAGCAGAAATTTCACACGTGGGGACCACCGTCATGCTCAGTTGTRCATTGGTGCCTGTTGGAGGTGCAGATAATTTGGGCGAGTTATCTGGCTCTACAGCAGCCATTAACAGAAGTGACTCCAAAGAAGTCAGCCAGAGGTCCAGACGGGTAGGGGCACTAAGGTAAACCTGCTTTTRGAGGAAGCTGCTGCCCAACTCTGTAGCTCTTCTAAGAGTTCCTCAAAACTTCTTGTGCCATAATACTATTTTATATACTATATAATACTATTTATATACTTCATAATACTATTCCTATGAACTCTAAGGCTAGGTGAAAGAAGGGATGGTAAAGAAAACAAGACAAAGAGCAGTTTAAAAGAACTCCTACTTTGGTTGCTTTAAAGTAGACTGAAGAGGAGCCCTTCGTTGTCCCAAAGAAGTCAGTTGGCCTTTTTTGAGCCTCTTCCCGCTTTATAATGCTCCAAAGAAGAGACATGGTGTTAATGATACGAGGCAATTCTTCTAAAATGGCATTCCTTGCATTTCTCAGATTTGTGGGTTCACCTACACATGACTAGAAAAATGAAAATATGATTATTATTTATATAATGACCTGCATTGCTCTTTTTCTTTAGTCAGGAGAATCTTCTGTAATAACAGCTTTAAAAGCAATTCATTCAATTGTTCTATTTCTGAGTTATATTGCTACTATCAGAGTTTTCTATTTACTGTCTTGGCATAGAGATATTCATTTTGCTGAGAAATTGTATATTAGCACAATATCCTACTTCGACGTCACTGCGACAAAAGAAGCAGAGCAATAATGTAYCATTATCTGCCTGATTCGAAAGAAAACAGAAGTCAGTTAGAGAGCAACTATAAAGAAGCCCCCCCAAGACTAGTATAAGTGAGCTGGGCGTGTTTAGCCTGGCGAAGAGCAGATTGAGAGGGGATCTTCTCAACATGCACAAATATGGGGTTAAACTGTTCTTGGTAGTGTGATCTTAAACWTTGGCTTAAAACTACCCTTGCTTGCTTCAAACAAAAAAAAAATCAAGTTCAGTCCCACTTCTTTGCATATTCCCTTAGTTCTCTTCTTTTGGTATGGAATTAACTTTTCCAGGGTTACCTTCCTTGTCTCAACTCCCCCTCACTACTTATATTCTCCTCTAAGCCATGCACGCATTCACACTGATGAACTGGTGCCAAGTTAATGAGTGGTGGGGACCGAGCAGTTACCTTTTTAGTTTGATTAGGGTGATCCAGAAGGCAGAAGTGACCAATGGTTGTCAGACCTTCCAAAAGGGTTAATGGGTAATCAGGTGTAACATTTTCTCTTTTAGACGTTAAGCTTCAGAAGAGTAAATAAATAAACAAATAAATAGCTTAACAGGTCAAGAAGTTATCTCCAGTAGAGACCTGCTTTAATAGTTAAAAGAATGTTGGAAAGACCAGACAACAATACTAAAACAGACCATTCTGAAACAATGCTTGGATAAAYCCATTTCCTTGTCTAGATCTTACTCTACATGCTGCCAGAAATCTTTGACATGCATCTTTTTTTTCCCCCCCCCCATACTCCTTTTCCTTACTGCTTGTACTGGACAGTAATACTATATTTTTCTTCTCCAGGGTCTCTCTCATTAGCAGATCCTCAAAAACTCCAAGTCTTTTTAAAACCAGGAACTTCTTTTCCCCTGGATGGCAGATAGAAGGGGACAGGAAGTATTCTTGCTGCTGATCCCTTTTCCTTCCTCACTCAACTGCACTGAGCCTTGCTGCAAAAACATTCTCTCCACCTCGGTCTGGGGCAAGGGACAGAGATCAAACTCTGGGAGCCACAGTGCTAAAAAGAGTAAGTTAATGTATATTACTTTGCAATAAGGGGCAATATGAAGAATAAAGTTTCAGTGTAACAAATCCCCCACTGCAGACTCTTACCTTGCTGATGGTTTCACAGATGCCTTTGCAGTTTCATTTTCATACTGTTTGACAAGCTCATCCAGGTTTTTACAGATCTGTACAACAAATGGTGCCACGGTCCAGCCTAAGGATTTCCCAAAATAGGGCAAGGAACACGTGACTAAGCCTACCCAAGTGGGATGCATCCCGTAGCCATACTCTGGTTGGAGGCCTCTAACAACAGCAGAGACAAATAATCCCTGTGAAGTTATTGGGTGTGGATAGACGTACTGCATCGCGCCGATGGCCTGCTGGAAATTAAGAGCCTGCTGCCATTCTTTAAAGAGATCTGGCTGGTTCTCCTGCTCCTCRTGAGCCTGTCCAAGATGGTGCTCCAAAACAATCAAAACCTGCAAGAGCTTCAGCAACTCAATCTGGAGTGGGTGCTCRCTCCATATTTGATCATGCCCAAAGTTGACTAGACTCTCTTCAAAGACATCTTCTTCAGGAAGATTATTACCTGCCTCTGCCATAAGAAGTTCATATCGTTTTTGGCTTGTGTACATAGATGCAGATAAAGAAAGAAGAACAAACTCTTGAATTTTGCATCTTCCCAGCAAATTGTGTATGAACTCGAGACTCCTATTCTCCGCTGACTTTGCTACGGTACTCAGCTGAGTCATCATTCGAATCAAGACTTCCACACTTTTAACCTGAACCTCTCTGTTGCCAAGCACATCTTTGTGGGTGACCTTCAAGTAGCATGGATAATATGAGCGTAGAAAACTCAAACAGAGGTAAGTAAGCAGTTCTATCAGGAGAGAATGTGGACACATGGAGGGGGACTGAGTCTGAAGCTTGCCATAAAAACTCTGTCCTACCAGGGATTCCTGATGGCGAGCTAAAAGATTGTAAATAAGATTCAAATGTGCTGTGGAGCTGGTATCCATGCTAGTACTAGCTACAGCGTCAATGAATTCTTTAGGGTTTGTTTTAAGTACTGCCTCCAGAACAGAAAAAGCATACAGTACCCTCCTGGAATCATAAGGCTGCAAATACAACAGCATGTGTTTGAACAAAGCCTCAATCATCTCCTGCTTTTCCTTCTGCTGCTTGAGCAACCTCGACTGGGTAATTTCCTGGAGCTCCAAGTCCACCTCTTCGTCACTTGACAAAGATTCTGATGCCTGAGTCCTCTCTGAGTCAGCACGCACAAGATTTAGTGCTACGTTGGATTTGGAGCTTTCGGGGAGGAAGGCATTGAGGGAAGTTGCATGTTTTGTTTTATCCTTGCAATCCACTGCAGCRCTATCATGCTCCTCATTGCTCACTTCTTGCAGCTCCAGAGAAGGAGAAAAAGAGGATGTATTTTCACTATCGTGACCTGTGCTGGTGTCAGCTGATTCTGTGTGCTCACTATTATCTTGGTCACCATCTGCCTCAGGTGAGGCCAGTGGATTACAAGAGGCAGTACTTTCAGTTTCTTCAGTTTTAAGCAGGGTCTTCTCTGGATCTTTTTCCACTTCTGCCCAAATAGCTTCTCTGTCCACAGTAGTAAACTGGCTCAGTGGAAAGTTTTCCTCAGAATTGCTCTCTGATGCACCAAAAGACTCTTTCAAAGAGAACTTTCTCTTGTGAAGCCAATCATATATGTCTTCTGGAAGGAAACAAAAAACCCAAACACATTCATAAAAGTGTAGAACTGGCCATGCACAAACTTTTTTTTTTTTTTTTTTGATAACTGGTGCAGAGTGTCTCTCATCCTCCTCACTTCCAGCAATCTCCAATGTGAATAGATTGCCAGCTGCCACATGATCCTGCACTCAGATCACACCTTGGCTCCACCCACAGGCCTCTGTCACACTACTTGTCTGTTCCACATTTGATCCCATCACCATCTGTTGCTCACATGAATTCTCACTACGGGCGAGAAACTGGGTGAGAAATTGGATGAGAAACAGACATTTACCTTCCTGCCAAATGTAGTCCCTCAGGACAACTATGCCCTACCACATTGTATAGGTAGACGGAGGTCACCTTCACGTGCAAAGTTCTCCCCCTGCTTCTGCATTCTAGCTCTGGGACACCTCAAGTCACACACAACAAAGACTCAGGTCTCCTCTTGATTCAACGGGGATCTCCTTTGGACAAAGATTTTTAATTTTCAGAATTTAACAAAAATCAGATTTTATGGAGTGTGTCCCAAACTGCAAGATGTACCTCATAGCCTCTCCATTTTTGGAAATGATTCCTTCACTAAGAGACATATACTGAGCAAAAAAAATGTGGCACAAAGGTACACGGTCTGGTGGGATAAGACAGTGCAGAGAAAAATAAGATTTGCCTGTCCATCCCATCTGTGCAAACAGTTTCTGACCTGAAGTCTCCAAGCTGCTCCTGAATTTTGTTTATTTGGAGATCTAGGTTTTGGAGAAGGGATCTTGTGAACAGTGAACATGCATGTAGTGTGGATCAACTGGGGAGGAGGATGAGGAGCAGTATGGGGAAAAGACCCCAAAGCAAAGCAGGGGGCACTCCAAACCAACAGTGCAGGTGCAGCCACTGTGACAGAATATGGCTCTTAGGAATCGAGCTAGCGTGACTTACTCCTGAGCTCTCTTTTAAGTGTCATTAAAGGTACTTGGATTAAAAGAAATCCAGGAAGTGGTGCAAGACAACTCGTTTTATCGGAATGCCATCTCCAGGGAGTGTTCAGAAGCATGTCATACTACATCAGCACTTACAGCTTCAGCCTAAGAACAGTTTTACCTGCTGAATTTTTCTGTTTGATGCAGTGGATGGAGGTGCGCTGTGTCTTTGGATGGAGCAGCAGCAGCAGGACTGGTTCAAGGATCCGTGCGACATCATTAAGGGAGAGCGCGCGGATGAGCCAGCCCTGCGCTGCGGCACCGATTGCCGCATCGGAACAATTGAGACTGTCCAGGACCACAAACAGAGACCTGGGTGGAGAAATCAGAACGAAGAAGTAMAATTGGAAGTCCTGAAAAGGTTAATGCAAACAGTGAAATAGGGGCAGGGAACAGACACAGGCACATGCTATAATGACGCTCTTTGAGTGCGTGTTCAAACAAGCACTGGCCAATGGCTCATCTTTGCTAACAATAACTTGATTATACCCAGCATTTTCTTGAGTTGAATTCAAGTATGCATGCATTTCTAGAAAGCTGTACACATGTTTACGACCTAAAACAAGAGAAACAAGAGTCTTTTTTTTTTTTTTTTTTTTTTAATTTAAGTTTTCCACATGTTTGAGGAGGTCTTTATTGCTTTGACCCCATTTTACACATAGGCTACAATCTTGCAACTAAGAACTCATTCAAGTCTAAAATACAAATAGCAAATAGCTGATTCTAGTTTCATTTTCTTTGGAAAAATCTAATCTAATCCACCAAGAAGGAAAAAAAAGCCAACTACGAAGAATGTCAGTACACAAACTACTCTTCATATATGAAATTGTTTCTACTCTTACAGGAACTTCCTTCAGACAAGAAATAAAGAGATTAAGTGTGCCATGTGCACCGAGCAGTCAAAATCAGTAAATCAAGGATTTCAAAGRTTTTAATTTTGGTCATATGGCTTTTTTTTTTTTTTCTTTCTCTCTTCTCTCCAGAAATAGAATCACAGAGCCAAGCATAGTATGACAAAATACATACACACAAGCTTAAGCAAATAGAGATGGAAAATACCTATCAAAGGATCGACTGTGAGAAGTCACTCTGCTGCCCTGGATCTCTCTGGTCAGATGCCACATGACAGAGAATCGGAACAGCGCTTCCAACCTCGTCCCCTTTTCATGAAAACAAGACAGGCAAGACAGGGTGTTTTTTGCAGCATTTACCACTGAATCCAATTAGTGATTTTTAACAACAGTCAGTGTATAGACAACTAGCAATCCCTCTTGTGTAGCTTGAAAACACTTCTCTTTTGCAGCACACTAAAACGAAAAAACGCCACATATCCATGAAGGCCAGACCAAAATCTTTTAGGTACAATGCTTGTATAGGCAGAAAAAGATATACTACTCTTTCAAAAAACAATTCAGCACCCTTGTATATAAACATTTTACTCTTGGTTTGGAGCTAAGGAGACTTAAATTTAGATGACCAATGGGAAGAGACTGCTACATCAAGCAGTATTTGATATTGATAATTTTGCTTTAAAAATGTGAGCAGATTTTTTTTTTTTTGCAGTTTCAAAATTATGAGAGCGAATATATGAAGCTAATACTTAAGGCTAAAGAATGCTGTTGCAAATTTTATTGTGAAAGGCATTTATTGCAAGTAAAACTTGAAGTTACGAAAGAACTGTTCTGTCATTAAACTAGGGAAGTAAAACAAATAAGAACTTGCTCACTTTAAATACAGCCTAGGCATTGTAAGAGCTACTAAATAGCAGACAAAGGGATCACGTGAGTGTGAACCAGACTGGAAGCCAACTGGAGGCAGTCTGGGAAGTTCTGTGACACCCGGATAGTGAGGACGGAGCTTTGGAGAATACAAGACTTACTTTATCATGATCCAGAAGTGCATGGCAGATAATGTCCTCGCAGATATTTGCTGATGGTGCCAAGCAGTGGAGCCTGTAGAACAGCTCCACACAGGCAATATGATGCTCCCGTGTCTCTTTGTTCAGCTGGTTCCAGAGCACACAAGCTATTCTCTAGGGAACAAYAACAACAACAAACAACATAATGTCAGATGCACCGCTGACTTAAAAGCTTGCCATTGCCTGGGTGTTGAAAGGGATTTCCAAAGCTTCCTAGTTTAGCAAAGAGCAAGAAATCAGGTCATCAACTCACACTTAAGGAATGCAGCATTCCTACCAGGAATCACTGACAATTCAGGTACACRTGCACCAGAAGTTGAGGAAAGCATTTTGTTTCTATTTTCTGGGTTAAAACTTATTAGGTGATGCATGTGTAGCTGAAAGAACAGAAACCAAACCTGGGACTCACCCTCACACCAGCACTAATCTCAGTAAACGGTCAAGAGAAGGAAAATATATCTTTGAAATAGATAAACCTTAAGACAAAAAGGAAGGAATGTTTTCAATATCTTAAACTCACTAATGATTTAGTGGGTGGAAAGCTTAAAGAGGCATCTGAAAGCTTAAAGGGGTATCAAAGTTTTCCAGTATGAAGCTTTCAGGCTGACAAAGCCTAACCCTTCAAGTCAAAAATCAACTTCCCTCCTCCAAGAATTTGAGCACAAACCTAACTAGCAATTTGAAAATTATTAGTCACTTTTGAATATCCTGCTATAAAGCATATAAATATGAAAACAACTGCTCTGAATTGCTTATGGGAAAGAAAAATGTCAAAGGTCGAGCACTGTAAGACACATTCCCCAAATATTTAGGCTGATAAGGATTGCTTCCCTCCTGCCTTGCCCTCCAAAGTAAAGTGTACTTGGGCAGTAAAAGCAAAACAACAAGGAAAAAACTTTGCTACCTGGTAGAAATCTGTTTTCTCTGAGATGAGCTTGAGAACACCTGGGGCGATGGGAGGAAGGGTGACCATCTGCAGCTTTCCAAAGAAGGGGTTGTGGCCAGAGACTTTGTACCTCTTAATCCTGTCTTCTATCACAAGTGCCAGGGACTGGGAATGGTTGATCACCTCCAGCAGGGTGGAGATGGACACGTTTTGGACGTAGCAGTCATTCACGCAGCAGCAAATCATCATTAAAGACTTTAGCCACAGAGGGAAGCCAGCATCACCACCTCAGAAGATAAGTGAGAAAAACCATTCTGGAATAATCTAAAAGTTACAGTTGTATTTCCAAAATTTCTTCAGGCAATCTCATGAGACCGAAAGACAAAACCAAGTGCCTGAATCTAACTGTGATTCTACCATAAAAACTGGACTCTTCAAAGCAAGTTATACTCTTTACTGTATTACTCCTACCAGAAAGTTGTTGTGGGACCTTTACTGACCACGTTAAAGGCACTGCAAACACGCACACAGAGTAACCCACAGTATGGAGCAGATGGCTCCCCTGTGTGTCTTTCCGATGATGAGCGTGTCATCACTGGACTAACGAAGACAGCAGAAATCCACAGAAAGATCAGAAACAGAATCCAAGTTTCTTTTTCCCACCCCTCCATTCACTCCAAACCTATCCTGCCTTCAGGGCAATAACTGCTCCTGTTAAATTAATAAATTTGAATTCCCAGAACAAACAGGCTTCCAAGCACACAGATTATTCCTGCACGTCAAGCCAAACCCAACTCATGTCAACTCGGAGGGTTAGGAAAGAGCTGTTTGGTTTCTGTTTCAGGCTCCAGCTAGCCCTCTGTCTGCAGCCCTTCTCCCTCCTTAATCCCATTTGTACTTCCCCAAACTCCTGAACCTCACCACAAGCTCCATCACTAGTAGGAAACAAGAAAAAAAAAGGACTAGAGAGCCCTTTCATCCCTCCAGCTGCAAGTTTTGTACTGAAAAAAATTCAAAACAAAGCAAATTTAAAGTCTTGTGAAAAATCTTTTCTCAGCTCAAAGACAAAAAACAAACAACCCACACATGCTGGTGCAGGTAAGTTTTGAATTCACATACAGCTTTCCTTCAGCCTGAAAAGTATTGCTGTTGACTCCCACCACAGCTCTTGCAAATGACTGAGCTCATACTGCTATTTGCATCCTCAAAAGACGACGTTGTCCAGGGAAGGACAACTTTTTCTTACCAGGAATCTGAAATAGGGAGACATACAACTGCTCCATCTCCTCTTCTGAAAGGTACACTGGGAATGTGGTACAATCCAGCAAAAGATGACAGGCCGCAGCAAAAGCTTCCTTGCAGTCTCCTCTAAGGGGCCCTAGCACAAGCATCACTTGCTCCAAGTCCCACTCTTCTTCCTCCTTTTCCTTTTTACTACTAAGGCTGCGGTCAGAAGAAATGGGGTTTGAACTCTTGTGCTTGAATGGTGATCCTCGAACTGAGAACAAGTCTGAAAGCATTTGTTTAAACTGAGGCACGGTGATTTGCCTGGCCTCCCATGGGCTCTTTTTCTTGTTAGCACCTTCAGGCAACCTGTAGCCGTTCTCCTTTTTCTCTCTKGTACCCAGATGCATTGCAAAGATGTTTTCACTATTTGCCTCTTGCAACTGCACTCCAAAAATATATTTACTGGAAAACTTGGCAACCAGCTCTTGGACACAATGCAAAGTCTTCTGAATGCTCCCCCCTTTTTTCCAGACATCATCTCTCTCAAGGGTCACCGTTGGCAGCCCCAAGTGCTGACAGAGCTCTGGGGAGGAGGCACTTAGACCAATGCCGCTGTCTTCTGACTTCAGGGGAGCAAACGGAGTCTCATCCTCTTCCTGCAGCACAGATTTAGTCTCCAAAGTTATGTCCCCATCTTCATTTTTCACTGGGCTCTGGAACAGAAACATAAACCTTAGTGAATATGGTACTGCAGAGGTCATTTTAAAGTATGTAAAACTATAGCAGGCACAGCAGAACAACAATGAAAAAGTAAATAAATAATGTCTAGATCCAGATTAACATAAAGACAATTGGTCATTGGTAAGCAGTTCAACTGCAATTAAACCTTATGTTTTTACAGTCCTCATGCCTTGACTCAAACACCAACACATCTTTACCRTCAGATGCACAGCAAATGAAAGCACTGCCTTAAAATGAGCCCACCGCTAGGACAATATTGTTTCTGCTTGATTATTTCTAATGAGATGCATTTATTTATTCTACTGAAAACCTTGGGAAAGCTGGAAACCTCATTCCCTGTCACAGTCTTCTGCACTCAAACTGCATTATTATTACAATGTGTAATTGCACTAAATGTTCATAAGACTGAAAGTCTCACAGACCTCAACAGCTGTAAAGCAGAGCTTGATCTGGGAACTTAAATCTTTTGCAACTACCTGCTGCTGACTGTCTTTTCAACACCAAAGAGATGACACTCTTTTCAAGAGGTAGGACTATAGTCCCAGTTCTGGACAAGACTAATTTACTTGAACTGTTGTGACAGTGAAGGATACAGAATTGGATACACAGTAAGATTYACAAGGCACAGAAGAGCTCTGATGGGGGACACATTTTCATGAAAAACTTTTCATTGTTTTTGCTGTCATCCAGGCAGACTTTAGAAAAGGAGACATGGCATTTTAAAATAAAATATGTCACTAATAATTTTAAACATCTGTAAGTAGATGAGAAACACTTACCCCATTTCCACTGCCTGTCTCAACGTCCAAATAGGAAGGTGGCATTTGCACTTTGCTCAACACCTTAAAGCAAGTCTTTAAGGCATGAGTGAGTTCTGGTAAACCTAGTATTTCCATGTTTTCCAGGAGAGACTGCACCATATAACTAAGCATCTGTGGAAGATACTGAGTCTGCACTTCTGAGTAGAGTTCCTAAAATAAATAAGTATTGTTTGAAATACTGAAGTATCTTACCAGAAATTTCATTATTATCCAGCTGCCTAGAAACATTGATTAAGGAGTGAAAAAAAGAGTTCATCGATGGTTAAGTTGTACAAACTTGCTTCAGCATTATTCTTTCTTTCTTCATTCTATATGATGAGTACTGAACCACACTCTAAAAATCCTATGGTAGTCAACTACTAAAAGAAAAATACCCCCAGAAAATGATCTGCTTAAGGGGGCAAAACTGGGATTGCTTTATAAAATCTCCATATTTCAATAGGCAACCCATTTTAGTTTGCTAGGCAACCGCAAGGATTGCAGTATACGAGCAAGCACGTGAAGACTGCTGGACATGCCATGCACATGTGCACTTATGACAATTTACCTATTCCCATCGCAGGTAGCCACAATATGCATTTCTTGGGTTTTAATATCTAATATTTTGAAGCAGTTAACTTCAGGCTGCCTTACCAAAGGAATCACATCAAGCAGAAACATCAACAGCGTGCAGAGCTCTGAAACCGTCGGGGGAGCACTAACGTTTTCAAGAGGATACCTCATCTTTGTGGATTTGCTTCTGGCATCAAGAGAAACATTATTTTATAAGCATTTTTCTTGTTTTCCAAGGAAGAAAACAAACAAACAAACAAACAAACAAACAACAACAACAAAAAAACCAAACTCCACCACCTTGCTTCCCCCACCTCACTTCTCAAACACCTCGCCACTTCAGTAATTTTTTTTTGGTCATTCTCATGCAATTGTTTGCCTATTTGCATTTTTGCACTATTTTAGGATGCAATAAACACATGTAAAAAATGTAACACATATCATGACCCTACCAGTATTTTTATCCATCACAAAAGTTTCTCTGTCGTTTTACAGAGAGCTCTTAGACAGCACTATTTTATGCATTCTCRTTTGATAAATCACCTGAAACAATCTTCAAAGCATCTGGTCATGTAATCCCAAAGAAAATCCGTGCTCAAGGATGTGATCAACAAATTGACTGTTTTCACAATTTCTGAAGCATTTTTATTCTCTTTAATTGCACTATGGGAATAGGAAAAAGAAATGACAATGACTCTTCCAGAAGTACACATACTACAGTATTATCTGTCCCATTAAAAAAATAAATTAATTTATTACCTTCCTTCCACAGGATTAAAAACATGGAATCATTTTAATTCAAGGACTAAATCATGTATGGGTAGTAAATTTGAGCATCTTTCTCCAAGACAAAAGAAAGATTATCTTTAACTTTGAAAATCTGAAGTTCCTAAGAGTTCTGCTACCAAACTTATTTATAAATCCAATCATATCAGATTTATCAATGATACGCAGCTCTTCTTCACTCTCTTCTCTATCAAAGGATAGAGAATCAAATGTGGTGTGGAAAGATACAGAAAGTCATAGAAAAAAAGACTTTCACATAGAAAGAATTTAAGTCTGCTAAAAGCTTCACTTCCCTAGAACTGGTTAGACTTTATAAAGTTATCCTTCATGAAAATAGGTAGTTTTAGTTAGCAATTGAAAACTTGTAGTTATACCTTGTAAGGATGTTCCCACTTTGATTGTAGCTAAGTTTGAGATCAGAACCAAGTGCTTCTTTGCAGTAGGAATAAAAGGCTCTAATCACCTCAAGGAACAAATCTCCAACAACTTGTGGCCCTATATTAGAGAGAAAATGGAAAAAAATAACATAAAAAAATCAGTAATTACACCAAAGTGATTGGAAGGCTGGTTAAATARAAATTTAAATTATAAAGTTTGTAACTGCTCATTTTATAACTTTAAGGCATTATTTGGAAAGCAATAGCATTGCTTCTATGTTAGATTTAATTAAACCTACACTGTTCTTAGTCACACCTCAGCCATTTACAAACTGGCACACATGTGGTAAACCTGCAGCTGACCTACCAAAAATAACCACCAGGTCTGGATGCAGGAAAGAAAACAAATAGAAGGTTTCCCAACTTGCATTTAACATACTACCCTGGCTCAATTTTTTGAGAAGCAGAAGCTGAAAAAGGTYAGTGATTAAGGAAGTCTGGGTGTCTAAATACACTATAAATATATATCAAAGTTACTATTTTCAAGGGTCAGCACAGCTTGTTCTTATCTGTAATTGTGTATAAAGGGACATGTGTCCTTTTACACTGTATCTACAGCTGAAAGAGGCAGTARTACCTCTGTCTAAGAAACAGATTAACAACTGCTTTGGCTGCTTCTGCCCAGGTAGCATTTATTTCTTAGATAAGTAAAACTGAATCCTCAATCTTCCTGGTAGTGCTGTGATAATCCTTTAACAGCAGATGTATTCAGAAGGACTTTCCTGATCCATGATAGAAAATAGTCTTGCCAGATGGGGGAGCCTGCAAAAACAATTGCTACTAGAACATTTAACATCAGTTACACTCATACATATCAGTTTTATTCATGTGATCAACTACTGGCTTGGTTAATGGTAAAATCTCCCTCTCCACCTCAGAAGATAATTTGAACTAAGCCTRTATCAGCTTCTAGCAACTATCAGTTTACTTACTTCTCATACTTGTCAGCATCATAGAGAATATGTTTTAAAAGACCTCTTTCTGTGTAAGGTTCTTAAAAAGTACCATAAATCCCCCAAATCYACCAAGTCACTTTGGCCATTTTTATTACTGTTGCTGCTTTCTAAACACAGCACAAAAAGGGGAACTTGCCCTTTAAAAAAACAGCTGGCAGGACCTCACCCTTGTGGAGCTGGGGACTTCATGTACACAACAGGACAGGCATGTGACAGCCCCAGAAAGAGGAGGAAGTTCTTCACTGCTTAGTCATGCAGTCTCAAACTACAGCTCCCAGAGCAGCATCAGGTCAGCACAGGCCTGCAGGGCCACTGACACCAGTGCTCCTACCTCCTCACACCCATAACAGGCCTCTTCCTGCTGGGGCAAATACAGGTTAGGCAGCTCTGCCCATTTTGGCAGCAGCAACACCGTGAGCTGCCTCTTGGACTACAGTGTCTTAGAAAGGAACTATGGTCATGAGAGTCTGATGCAAGTGTATAGGAAGCCTGCAAGCACAGCCAGGAGCTGCAGACAAACCCAAGAAAGCACTTGGTATTTTTCCTGATAGAGACCTCTCATGACAAAAGATGGGAGATGGGAGTGAGGAGAAAAAAAGAAAAAAGAAAAAAAAGAAAAAAAAATCCTGTCAGGATACTAGAAATCAAGCTCCAAGGAATGAAYTGAGCAGAATATTGAGACCAGAGCAGAAGTTGTTCCAATTGCACCACCCCAGTTGCAGCTCTGGATGCAGAACAGTCATGCTCCCTGGGATGCACCCACGCTGCACAGGGCAGTCACCCACAGGGCGTTAGCTCCAGAGGCAACTCATCTGCACAGCTCCGGTTAGACGCTGCTCTGAACTGGTGTCACTCTTTTTGGAATGACAGGAAGGAAAACAGGGCCACTCCACAATAACATAGCGCACACACACATTCAGAATTAGGAAGAACTCTGCATGCTGTTGCCCGAGTCCTGCCTCCAAAGGTAATGAAAGGTCACCATGAGAGCAGCCTTCAGCAGTCGCAACAGCAGTGACAAACAACATTACCTATTTCAGGTTTGTCAAGGAGGCTGATTAAGATGCGGAAAGGTTTCAAATAAGCTTGATGCCGTTCCTCTGCATCAGACTCTGAGAATTTCTGATGTAATATTTCAATCAAACTCTGTTAAAAGAGAAAACATCTAAATGTTACATCCAAAAGGAATATTGCCATTTTATTAACAACTGAAGCGTTCCTGAGCTTGATTCTTTCCTTTAGCCCTAGCTACAAAGAGATGTCAGTTATCCATACTTGTCAGACAAATCAACAACCTCTCCTAAAATACATGCGAGAGTAGAACTTATTCAGAAAAACATTTTTAAATAATTCAGGCAGTCCTTCAGTTACGCAACTCTTTACTTTCACAGGGTTCTGTTTATATTGAAAGTACCTATAAACAATGGGGCAGGCACAGCACAGAACACACTTTATACACAGATTAAAGTATAACCACCAAAAGGCTGCCATCTCTGAAGCCCTGAAGGACAAACCAAGCATGTGTACATTGAACAACTGGGCACAGATTGCTCCAAAGTTTAAAAAGCCCATAATTCTATCCATATAAAGTGGATACAGACCTCAACTAAAAGATCTTTGGAGTATTTTCCAAAGAAATAAATAGCTGGGTCTTCAGAATTTGTAGAGTCTGGAGCAAATGTATCCCCTTTAATATCAGAACCTACAAATTAAATAAGAGGTGTCATTACTACAGAGAAACACCATATTTACAGAGCACATTTCAATACCAATTATATAAATACTGAAGTCACATTGCATATTTTACTTTTAAAAACCCTTGGGATTTTAACCTGTATAGATTTGAAATATTTTGTTCTAATGCTCTGCTTGAAACCAATTCACATATTTCCCAGAGAGAGCCAGTTTGAGGCGCTCAGTTTCATTTAAAACCAAGCTCAGATCCAGCCATAAAGCTCAGATCCAGCCCTAGCCTTCATACAACTACACGGCTGCAACTCATCACATCACTTATCTCCTCCAGTACCGCTAGATTAAGGTGGATAGGAGGAGCTCCTTCATAGCCCCTCCTTGACACTTAAACCCTTCTGGGAATCTTTAATAGACTACTACTGTTGGAGGAGCAAGGATAAAATTGCTTCCCACTGTATTCATACCAGTTAACCACTTCAGATTGAACCACAAAGGGGACTAGAATTGATCCATCAAAATTGATGCTGTGATTCAGGACAGAAGAATGAACTTAACCTCTGAAGAGAAAACCTGTTTGCCAAATGAACGTATAATTTTATTAGACCAATGCTTCATAAACGGCAACTAAACAATGCTTTCTATTTTATCAATATCCTTCAACGGCTAAAAAAGTATATTKCATTTTTAAGCATTGAATTTTTCTAGGATATCTAGTATACTGAATGTCACTGTAAATTGTACAGTACCTAGTAACCATGCATACAATCTTCTGTTGAGTGACATGTCTCTCCTCAATAGTGTCTGTGTAGCTGATGAGAGAATATAGACTAAATCGGTCCTGTGCAATGGGATAGCACTTTCATTGCAGTCCTAGGAGGAAGAGCAAAGAAACTGAGCTGTTTACAAGCAGTAAAACAGGTCAAATGGGTGACAAGCTTTTTAAATTGGACTATTAGTGTTTAAGCCGGATTATTTTGAAAGAAAAAGAGGCAAGAAGCCATCAACAATAAACTTCTGTATGCTAGAAATCTCAAGAAAGAGAATCTCTTAGAGTTACGTGATTATTCTCATAAACAAAGGGGACAGCCATGATTAAGCTAAAAATACTGATTACTTCATTATGTTATACCTGATGTTAGGAAACAGTGAGGAAAAATCTACTGTTTCAAGCAGTATTTGTTTTCCTAGCCTCTTATGAAAATACTGTAGTTCTGTGCAGACATCACCTAACGCTCACTGCCCCCTTAAAAAAGAAATCTCTTTTTTCCTGTGTGCAATGTCTCAGGCCTGAATACTTCAAGCACATTCGAGATATGAATATGCCCTGTCAAAGCACAGCTGCATTTGAAACATTCTGAGGGTTTGTTTCTGAAACTCTCTAGAGCTATCTCATCTGCTACTAAAAATGATGGAGGGAAAAAAAAACCCCAAAACCTCACGCCTAAATGCATCTATTGTTTTTGAAGGTACAAGATTCCCATATTTGTCAGTAATAGAAGTGGGAACTAGACTGAGTTCACAGAAGACAGCTTTGCAGAAAGCGTGCTTGTCACAAGACGAAAAAAATYCTCTTACCAAGGCTGTATAAAATGGGAAGAAGAACAGAATCACTTCCAGAGTATTTCTTTGGACAAGGACATTTGAATCCAATACAGATACACACAAAGACTTGATCTACAAAAGAAGAAAGCAGAGTTCTGTTTTACTTAATGTTAACATATGAACTAAGATCACTGTAAATAACCACAAGGAAAGAAATCAAACCTGATCACACAAATTTTTTTTTTTTTTTTTTTTAGTCAAGAGATGAGTATAATCACCACACGCATCTTTCTCCCTTAAAAACAAACTTAAAAATGTTTTTGTGGAATACTACTAAAGTATCATTCATAATTACATAGTACTTGGTTTTGTAGTAATATAGGGTGTCACAATCACTAGCTATCACACAGAATGTCATGTCTTATAATGCTGGTAAAAATAGTATCTRCATTTTGTAATTATTCCATCACTGAAATTAAACATAAAATACCACCTAATGCAGTTTTTCATCTGACTGAGGAGGAGGATGGTAGCTGGGGGGAAAAAGATACTAAGTTTCAGAATTCTCTTCTGATTACAGAAGTACTTTAGAACCATGGTGGGCAAAGCCTYCTAATACTGCTTTGAAATATTGTCAGAAGACGCCTGTAGTTGGAAAAATATTTCAAGAAATACCTTAAATGCAAAAAAACAGAGTAGGTGAAGGAGATGTTAGGGTTACTTTCTAATTTACAACCCAGCCRATCCTTTAAGGCTTTATACAGTTAGTGTTTAACAAAACCAGAGACACTTCCRAAGATGGATATTCTGCAGGCTGATCATAACCTGCATGGGAGGTTTGCTGCTGTACTCAAGTAACCATAAAGTAACCATATTAAATTGCTCTGAAGCGCAAGCATTTCCCTGCCTCTCTTACTCTCCCCCAAAAAGAGCATAAAAGGGCGTCATTCTAACTCAATATAGAAAAAGCACAAGGTGTTGGCATAGCTAAGACTGTCTCCCTAGGAGCAGAGGGAACTTACTGTGAGCTTGTAGTCAGCACCAAGCATGTAGCTCTGCTGCTTTCCAGACTGCTCTCTGTTGATATGGCTGACCACAAAGAGCGAAGCGGGCAGCCTGATGGATGGGCTGACCAGAACACTGCCCCAAAGGGCTCCGTAGAAGACTTCTTTGCCCATTAATAAGGAGAGCTTCACAAGTAAAGCATCTGTTCTGTATGGAAAAAATGTTTAACATGAGAAAATGCAGTTTTGTTAATTCAATTTTACATTATAGAACTGCACTTAGGCAATTAGTCTTCCAGATCACAGTTCRTTACTTTCCTCCTCTCTGCATTGTCAGTTTTGCCCTTGCACACAAAGATGGTCAGCAGTTGCTTGCACAAAAAAACCACACRCATCTCAATTCTTCGCCACTGTGCATGCTCACTGAAATAGGGATAAGTGTGTTCCTGAATTGGAAATAATTTAAGCTGACTGTAGACTCTGAAAGCCAATTTACAGACTGGGAATCCAAAAATACTCTGCATATTCATACATACAAATCAATGGATTCAATTTTTTAGTCAGCAAATGAATAAAAATATGTGATAAAAATGACACTGCCATAGTTCTTGCACACTGGACTGGTACGCTGAAATTGAAGGCTGCAGTAATGGGGGCACATTCTCTGCTTTGGCAACTCTCTTATTACTCTGGTATTTACTACATATAGGAATTGAAMCCTCTCATGAGGAATACAGAAGTTGGAGAAGACAGGGGATGTTCACTATGGTAAGTGGAAGAAAGCAGAACTGAGGTTATTTGCCCATCTCCTTATAAAGCAGTCATCAAGACCTTTTTTTGTTCAGTTTTGTGTGCATACATGCGTTTATGCATTAGAGAGAATGTGTATCTAGGAGTGAACATGATCTGAACTAGCACTTCTGCCATTTCTRGTGACAGAGGAGGTGCATTAGGGCTAACCCAAAATGCCAGAGATTCTTAAAACTCTCAAAGGAGTTTCCTATGGAGCAGCGTGGGGGAAAAAAAAAAATCTAACAATAATCTTCTGAGAATGTATTGGTCTACCTTTCTTGAATCAAATCATCGTAATGAAGGAACTAAGGAACGTGCTTCCCATTGTATGTATATGTCACAAAAAAGACTTAAAATGATTTTAGTATTCCATCATAAAGGATTTTGATACGTTTGCTTCCTGCCTGTGATCCTATTTGTTAAACGGGAAAAGATGCAGGACTGCAAAGCYAGAAACAGATAGAAAATTTTAGTTGGCCAACAATTTGCAAGTACTATTAGTTCATTATTTCAAATTTTGCTATTTTCCAAATAAGCTGAATTTTCTTAAATATCCTATCTTGCTGTAGCCTTTTAGATCCAAGGAAAGAAAGAAAGAAAGAAACACTGGCAATCTATTCTTAGCCAGTTCAGCCACTAATATAAGCCTTAAATTTATCACACATCCCCCCACTTTTTAAGGAAATATCATACATAAAACTACTCTGTTCCTTTATGGTGATATAGGTAGCTTAGTGTCTTCATTAGGAATAAAAATAAAAATAAAAATAAAAATAAAAATAAAAATAAAAATAAAAATAAAAATAAAAATAAAAATAAAAATAAAAA